AGGGGGGGGGGGCGTGGGGTGTGCGCACAGGGAATGGGTGCAGCACAGTCTGGAGCAACTGGCTACAGGTGTGCCCAGTTCAGCAGAAATGACGGGCAATGGATGCCATTTGGCTGGCGGGACGGCGGCAGCTGATTGGGGCTGGGGGGCAGAAAAAGGGGGTAGAGGGACCGGGGGGGGGGGGGGGGATCAAGGTTGGATATGTTTCATATATATAGTCGTCGTTGTATCGATGTTGTGTGCAGTTACTATGGTTGGTGCTGGGTGTGATGACCGTCATCGGCCATCGCATCAGCATCATGCAATAGTCGAACCGATACGCGATAAGTTCGCCACACTCGCCATCCATGCCACCCATTGTTGCCATCGCATTGATGTATCTATGTATATGTATACATGCATGTATGTATGCGTGCGCGTGTGTGTGTGAGTGTGCGTGTGTGTCTACCCCAAATCCAGCGACTTCCCCGCCAACGACTCCCCCCACCCACCCACCCACCCACACCCCACCCACCCACCTCACCCCACACACCATGGCCGCAAACACGTACTCGTCACGGGTGCTTATCGGAAACTGGTCCGAGGACCTTGAGCTGGAAAAGGTACCCCCCACCCACCCACCCACCCCCACCCCCTTCCCCTTCCCCATCCCCCTTCCTCGCCACCCCCTGCAGCCGTTGGTCACTCTCGCCTCCCTCACTCACATTGCCCTTGGCGGACGTGAACACAGCTGCGACTGCGTGAGTTCCTGGACAAGAAGGAGGCCGGGACGCTGCGGCTGACGCAGTCACTTGCGGCTTTGACTCCGGCGGGTGTCTCGGCCTCTACACAGGGCGCTGTTGCTTGGGGTGCCTATCTCGCTCTCTACGCAGAGCACTCGGGCGCTTTGGCCTCGTTGGACGTCAACGGCGCGCTGGCGCTGGCAAAGGCTCACAACGAGGGTGATGCTGCTGTGGCGGCCGTGGAGGTCGCATGCGGAACCGTAGCCCATGAGGGTCCGCGGGCGCGCTCCGTCTTTCAGATCGTTCCGGCTCACAAGTACGTCGCCTCGGACAGGGTCGTCTGCTACGGCGACAAGATCCGCCTCGTCTCGCACGAGGCTTACGCACCGCAGCCGGTTGCCCTTGCCTCGCGGCTGAAGAACCCGACAACATTCTCGCTACCTTCGCATCTGCAGGAGGTATACGCCACTGCTGCACAGCCCTTCCCCCACGCCTCTGTCTGGACCATCGAGCACTTTGACCCGCTCCTCCGCGACGAGGCCGAGGGCCATCCAGTCCCAGCCAACGGCCGCGTCATCATCCGCCACTGCGCCACCAACGCTTGCCTCGCCTCCACTGGCAAGTCCACCGCCCCGGGCGCTCCCACAGAGGTCTGTGTCCATACCTTCTTCAACACACACAAGGCCGAAGAGCCGCAGAACCACTGGGCGCTCGTCATGGACGACGAGCCGCCGCAGCCCAACCCCTAACCGCTAAACGCTCCCTCCCTACATGTCATCCAGCACTAGAGAGAGCGACGAAAAGTACGACGACGACGAGATCCGGTCGTCGTCGCCGCCTCTCTCGCTGCCGCCGCTTGTCATCGTCTGCGTGTGCGTCGAGTAAGAGTACGACTCGCAACCCATACCTGCACTCTCCGCTCCCTCGGCCGATTCCGCTGTTGGCGCGCCTGCCAACTCGTCGTAGCTCTCGTCACTGCTCCAACTTGTCCCGACAAACGTTTGCGACTCCCGCGCCGCCGCCTCCATGGCCAGCGTCTGGTACCGCGCCGAAGAGAATCGCGAGTATGCCACGTATGCCACCGCCGGGATCACCATCCACCCGATCAGCAGAAGCGCGAGCAGTGCCGACGACGCTCTGATCTCAAACCACACTCCCAGCAGCGAGCAGAGCGCCGTCCACCCTGCCATCGAGAACGAGACCGCCTTGAGCACAAGGATCGAGCTGAACGGACACGGCCGGTACTTGAACAGCACCACCACCAACGCCGCCTCTGCAAAGAGGAGCAACGAAAGCCCGAGCCCGGGACTCGACGAGAAGAACATCATAAAGGCAGAGACGAGAACCTTGATAATCCGCTCCAGGAGCATGAACAGCTCGGCAAACTGGATGTCGGTCTTGCCCGAGTGATCTTCGGTAAAGTGGATGCCAATGAACGACGCCGAGAACAGGTAGTACGCCAGTCCGATCATGCCCACAGACGCCAATCGCGCGTGCAAGCCTGTCCAGCACGCCACTTCAGGCAACTCGTCCAGAAACGCTCCACCTCCCTCGTACGTGCAGTCGAGCGTCGAGAGCAGCCGCACCACCACAAGCAGAAACAGCGTCGACGAGAGAATCTTAGACACATCCTCCACCATCGGCAGGCTTGTCAGCGCCGCCGCCGCCGCGTTCTGGAGCGAGAACACTCCCAGAAAAGCAGAAATGATCCACCATACCAGCGCCGCCGCACCCGCAACACCCAGTCCCGCATAGTACCCGCGTCGCCCTAGATCAAGGTCGAGCAGCGAGAACTTGGCCACACGCTGCGGGTGTGCAGCCCACGGGTACACATCACGCGCAGGCCGCAGCGCCAATGACGTCAGCTGCACAAACTCGAGTCCGATCGTGAGCACCGCGAGCCCGTTCCGCCAGTTCAACCGTCGCACCGCCACACACCACCGCGAGTTGACCATCCGCGACGCCGTGTTCTTGGCCCGCGAGGCCTTGGCCGCCGCAGATGCGCACGGCAACCGCACGTCTAGCCACGTTAGCTCTTCTGGCGCAAGCAGCCACTGGATCTTCCGCGCCGGTGCGTCCACGCGCGCGTAGCTTCCGTCCACGTCCAGCAGCGCAAGCAAAAATACCGCGCCCATCCACCCCACAAGCACGCCCAAAAACAGCCCGATGCACGCCAGCGCCGTCGACGCGGAGCCCTCGGCCCGTGGGAGAATGACCCACGGCACAAGAATCGAGAACATCCAGACGAACGAAAAGACCACCGTCGAAAGAAAGAGCACCCATATGTCCGTCGTAAACACCGCTGCCTTGAGCGTGTTCGAGTACTCGACCACAGATCCACGCAGCGCACGCCGCAGCATCGAAAAGTAACCCAGGAGCATCATGTACACTCCAAACACAAGATACAGCCCGAGTGACGCCAGCCATTGTGCCTGAACCCGCGCCCGGCTCCAAACGTCGCTGGCAGCCCGCCGTACTGGTAGCGCAGGTACTTGTGCTTGCGCAGCGCTGCAAGCAGCCGCCGCGTCATCGTAATGTTCAGCTCCTCTGCTGTCACATGCAGCTTGGTCAGCGCCTGCCCGGATCCAGGCCCGCGTCGCCCAAGCAGATGAACAAGCTCCTCCGCGTCGAGCGTCCCGAGCTTGCACTGCGTCACTCTCAGCTCAAACGAGCCCGGTTGGCGCGCACCGATGACCTTGCAGAGCAGGTCCATGGAATAGCTCCCGGCGCGGACTGCGTGCTCGCGCCGCAGAATGAACCGCGATCGCCGCGGAAACACATCCATCGTCACGTGGCTGTCGAGCTTGACCGTTCCTTCGCGATCTGGCGCAAGGCAGAGCAGCGACCATGACTGGTCAGCCGGCTTGCCAAACAGCTCCTTTGCCCGCGCCACTACAGCCGAAACCGTTGCCCCGTGCGGCACTCGCACAGCGGTGTACTCTTGTGCGTTGTCTGTCGACTCGGAGAGCGAGTCATCGCCCTCGCCGTCACTTCCGCCGCTGCCGCGCTCGCCACGAGATCGCGATCGAACCTCGCGTGCGACTTGGACCACAGAAATCCGGATCTCATCACCAAACAGGCCTGCCTGTCGCGCGCTCATCCGTCCGTCGCCTTCGCCGCCGCCGTCGTCGTCGCTTCCCGACTCGCCAAACCGCGGTCTACTGTCGCGGAATCCGTTCTCGTCAGTACTACCTGGCACACAGCACGCCAGCATCGAGCTGAGCTGATTAAGCCTCGCTTCAGTCCGCGGCTTGCGCGAGATCTTGCATCCGTGGAGCGTGAGCGATCGTAGCTGCTGTAGGTGCGCGAGCTCGTCGTAGAAATGATCGCGCTCCTTTGCCAGGTTACATCGCTCAAACGCCAGTCGCTGCGTCGCCCGCGCCTGGAGCACAGGTAGCGCCGCAGCATCGTCGAGCGTCCCTGATCCGCTCCGCGCCTGAATCCCGCTCGAGTTGTGAGGCACCGCCCGCACAAGTCGCAGAGCGTGGACAAACACCCGCATGTCATCGGCCGTTCGCCCTCGTGCCACGTACGTGTCCATGACGCTCAGCAGCTTGACCGCCACGCGGACCTGCTCATGCTGCAGTGCGGCGTCCACGTACTGCGAGAGCACACGCGTCAGCTCTGGTGAAAACAATCGATTCACGAGGCTAGCGTCAAGTGCGTCTGGATCCAGATCCAGTGCCATCGGCGCCAGCAGCCGCGCAACCGTGTGCACGAACCCGAGTTGGCACGCAAACGACATGATCGTCTTGCCGCGCGGCGTCTGCAAGTGGATGAGCTCCAGCAGCGTCTCCAGACTCAGCACCAGTCCGCGCTCGCCTGGCACGTTGAGCAAGAGCGCCAGCACTCGCAACGCGTTGGCTGTCCGCGCCATCTCAAACGGTGTCCGCGCCGCTGCACCCCGCGCCAACGGCCGAGACGCCACGTCGATCGATTCTACCTTGGGAAGCATCCGCTCCAGCACATCATAGTTCTTCTCCGAACTCGCTGCGTGATGCAAAACGGAGAGCCCCGTAATTGGCGCCCGAACCGTGAGCATGTGCGTCTCAAGCGCCTCTAGATTCGCTCCGTGCCGCAAAAGCAGGACAGCAAGTCGTGTGTCGCGAATGTGCCGCTCCATCGCCAGCTCCAACGGAGTGCGCAGCTCCGAGTTGCGGCAGTTGACCGGTGCGCCCGACGCCAGCAGCAGCTCCGCGAGGTGGACCGGTACCCCGCGCTCTGCCGCCAGGTGCAACGGTGTGTTGCCGGCACGGTCGCTCGCCTTCACCATCTTGGTCCAAGCCTGTGCCGCAGAGTTGGCCCGCAGTGCGCCTTCCAACGACGCCATCTCCGGCCAGTGCCCGAGCTCGGCGAGCGCATGCAGCACGTTACCCGAGTCGCGCTCCAGGGCAGATGGGAAGCCCGGCACAGACTCCCACCGCCAACCGGTCGACGCGGCCAAGAGCGCAACCTGGACGCCGAGCGAGTCGGACTCGACTGCCGCCGTCCATGCCGACGCGCCGTTGCTGGCTGTCACGTCTGGCAGCATGCCCACCCGCGGGTGGAGGAGGATCTCGGCAAGCCACTTGCAATCGAGCCGTGCTGCCCAGTGCAGCAGCGACTCGCCCTTGCCATCGCGCGCAGAAGTCAGACGCTCCGCCGCGTCATCACCAAGCGAGTGCAGCGCACGGAGCCGCAGCAAAAGCTGTGCCGCAGTCTCCGCCAACCAAGCGTGCATAAAGACTGAGCCTCCTACTCCGCTCCTCGCCGTTGCTACTGTGGTATATCGGTCGTACTCGGCTTGAGTGAGCGTGTCCAGATCCGGTATCGCCTCCATCCGCAAGCTACGGATCATCGAGTCGAGGATCAGAGCGAGGCAGCCAAGCGACGAAGCTTCGAGTGCAGCCTTGACCACAGTAGCCCGCGTCCGCTTGTCGCACACCGCCACATCGATGACCCGAGCCTGGAGCAGGACCTGCATGACTAGCTGGTGGTCGCGGAGCATGGCGGCGTGCAGAATGTCTGGTGTTCGCGACCAATCCACCGCGTGCAGCGTCCGCTCCATCAGCGCGTACACCGTCGGGAACGACGGATGCTCGTTGGCGAGCTGTGACAACATGCCAGCCAGCAGAGATTCGGCCGTCCACGTATGTCCACGCGCTACTGCCACAGCCATCGGAGACTCGAAGAGCAGGCTCTCGGGAACCGGGGCCGGCGTCGTATCGGCCGAAAGGACCGAGCCGGTGCCGTGCCGAACATCGCGCGCCAGACGCGAGGTGTTGAGCGGCGACCGCGGTGTGAGTGTCGGTGGTATGAGCCCGAGCGACTGCGCTTCGGGCCGGAGCGTCACCACAAGATACTCGACCAGAAGCTGGGCGCCTGCCGCTGCGCCATACCACAACAGTGACTTGCCGCGGCCGTCACGCCGAGCGAGCACCGCTCGCCACTCGCTCGCGCTCTGTGGCACACGGAGCTCAAGTCGGCCTTTCGACGTCTCGATCGGAGCAGAGACAAAGACGACGGCGTCGGGCACCGCAGGCGCCAGCGCCACGCCAAGGAACCGCTCCACAACCTCGGTTCCGCCGCACGGCCGGCTCGTCCCGGCCGCGCCCACTCGGCACTCCACATCGCATCGAGCCACTTGAGGTCAGCAATAGCCATCGCCACCGGCGCCAGCGGCCCGCTCAAGTACTTGCCGGTGTACAGTGGTGTGCCCACACCACGCACGCTCTCGACACGGTAGGCGACCGCGCCAAACGCAACAACATCGCCAACCTGCAGCGAGACCGGCTCCAGCTGAACCGACGCACCGTTGACCGTCACCGCATTGGCCATCGAAGACGACGAGACCACCACGCAAAACTGCGCCCGTGACCTCGCGTTGTACGAGATTCGGGCCATGTAGCCCGAGACCGACGGATGAAGAAGCGCAACCGAGGCCACGCCGGACAATCCGCTGCGCCCGGCTAACACATCTGCACTCAGATCTACCATGTCCTCCATGTGCAGCGCGAGGGACTCGGTCGTTCGCCCAAAGATGGTGTGCCGCGCCTCCACAACGAGCACATCGGGCGCAAGCGCCTTGCCTGGTGGCGCCGTCCGCCTCAACCCAAGTCGCGGAGATAGCGAGTTCTCTCGCGCCCGCCGGGTCACCCGCCACGCCACCGGGTTGTGCGCTGGCGCCTTGAGCAGCCCGACCTCGATAGGCAGCCGGTGGCCGCCGTCATTCGCCTGGGCAAGGCCGACCAGAATCTCCAGCATGAGTACATGAACAAACGACCGGTCGTCAAAGTTGGCTTCCGGAAAGACAAAGCCGAGCCGCTCCAGCGCCGACCGGAGGTACGGCCGCGAGACGAGCATGCCCCGCGGCGCATCCTCCTCGTCTACAAACGGTAGCGCAAACATCGGCGGTCGTTTGGTCCACCCGATCTTGTCACTCGATGTCCACCCGTACACAAGCTCGTCGTTGGCCCGCGCCAGGCAGTCAAGCACTCGGTAGATCCGATCCGAGAGCGAGAGCGTGTTTGGCGGCGGGCCGGCCGAGCTCCGTCGAGACCCATCGCCGCCCGCACTGTCGTCGAGACCCCAATCCAGCGACACACCCATGGCTTCAGCCACTGTCTCCAGAATGATCACGTTGTTTGCCAGCGAGTTCGGCGCGCCAAGCAGGTACGTGATCGAGTGACCAGGTAGCGCGGCGAGATCGATCCAGGTTGAGAGCTGTCGAGCCAGCTCGACCTGAAGTCCGACCAGCTCCATCGACTTGAGCGAGGTAGCCAAGAACATATCATCCGAGAGCTCCAGTCCTCCCACCGTAGTCGACGATGAGCTCTCGCTCCCGCCGCTTTCCTCCGAGTCGTCTGTTGATGATCTTGACCATGACCGCGAGCTGGCACCTCCACCTGTCCCGCCTGTCCCGTCGCCAACAGAGAGTCGTACCCGTCGCCTGCCGGCCACCCCGGTTCGCCACTCTTGCGCCATGGGCAGATAGGGCGCTGTCACGAGAAGACGGAGGAAGACAGGTGTTGTCGTGCTGGGTCGGGGACCACGCTAGGTCTTGGTCTCGCTCTCGGTCTGGCCGGCGGCGGGTGGGAAAGGGTCGGCTCTCGGTCGGAAGCCCGCCACCACTCGGAGAGCTGGCTGATCGATGCACTTGCACACCTGGCGGATCCGCCGACTTGGGGGCTTCGAAGCATCACTTACCGTGTTTGATGGTTTCCTACCTCGGGCTGTGAATATGCTCGTCCGAGGCCTCCCCGCAACTCGAGCACGAGTCGGAGATTGACTCCACCACCTCGGAGCTCGAGCTGCTGCTGTCGGATGGCTCGCTTGCGCCGCGAGGCGGAAGGCCAAAGGCCAGAACATCGAGATCGGTGCGCGGTCGCGATGCCCGGGGGCTCTGAGACTGCGGAAGCGTGGGCGCGTGTGTGGTGGTCGACGGTGCGCCGGGTGCTCCCGGAGGCGCGCGACGCGCCGGTCGCGACGCGCGAACCCGCTTCCGCGGACGGCCAGGCGATGCTGGGGCAGCAGCCTCGGGATGTGGCGACCGCGCAGCGCGTGATCGCTTGGTCACGCCCCCAGCATCGCCGCGTGTGGCGTTTGCGGCGCGCAACTGTTTGCGGAGCTTGCTAGCCGCGGCCTTGGCCTTGGTGGCGGCGCGGAGGAGGACGAGCTCCTTGGCCTCGAGTCGCGCCACGGCCTTCTCCAGCTTGACGATCGAGTCTGTGGCGGCCGCCATGGCGGCAGCATGTTCGACGTCTTTCTCTGTAGATGCAGCACGTGCAGCGTCAGCGTCGGCACGTGCGGAGGCGGCGGCGGCGAGTGCGGCGGCGATGTCGTGGCGAGCGGCGGCAGCGTCGGCGAGCGCGGTTTCACGACCTTTTTCGGCGGCAAGGCGGGCAGCATCGGCAGCATCCACCGCTGCTAGCCGCGGGCCCGCCGCTACCACGACGGCCTCGAGCGCGGTAAGTTTGCTGTTTGACGTCGCCAACGCGCCCTTGGCCTCTTCGAGCTGCTGGGTGAGCGCGGCGATCTTGGCGGTCGAGGCGGCGTTGGCGTCGGCCGACGCGGTCACCGCCGCACGCGCAGCCGCACGCAAGACGGCAGCAAGCTGCGGCAGCTTCTGGGCGACACGACCGGCCGAGGCGGCTACATGCTCCCACTCGGGAGGGACGCACGACATGGTCGGTGTGTTAGAGAGGAGTGCGGATGTGTGGGGAGAATGAGAAAGGCAAGCCGGTCACGACCGCCGCGACTCGCGGAGCCGCGACCGTGAGCCGGACCGGAGCTGCGAGCCGGTCGGGGGGGCCGAGGGCGACGAGGACGAGGCTGGTGGGACGCCGGTGACTCGGGTGGTGCGCTCGTCGGAGCGGCGCTTGCGGCGCTTGTCGCGGGTGGAGCTGGAGCGCGGGTCGCGGGCCGGGGTGGTGTTGACCCGGGTCGACGACGGCGACTGGCTGACGTGGGCGCGGCCGTCCGAAGTCATCGGGGTCATGGCCGAGCCGTTGCGGGCGACGTTGGAGACGCCTGCGCCCGAGGCGGCAGCCGGTGGCGTGGCCGGGGGAGCCGCCGATGATGTGGCCGCGCTGGCCTCTTCGTCATCGAGCACGGTCCAGTCGTAGACGTAGTCGTAGGCGTAGCCCTCGCGGATAAAGAGGTCGCGGAAGATGATGCGGCAGTAGTCGTAGTCCGGGCGCTCGTCGAACCGGAGCGAGCGAGTGTAGGTGATGTACTTGACAAACTCGTCGGGGAGACCGGCGCACAGGTCGTCGACGAGGACCTCGAGCTTCTTGTCGCGAATCTTGTCGTACTTTTGCTTCTTGTTGGCTGCCTTGAGGCCCTGCCAAGGCAGCGAGCCGCGGAGCAGATACAGCAGGACGTAGCCGAGCGACTCCAGATCGTCACGCCGCGACTGCTCGATGCCAATGTGTGTGTTGATCGACGCGTACCGCGCTGTGCCCGTCAGATTCTTGCCCTCCTTGTACTTGATGTGCTTGCCCGTCCGCGGGTCGATGTACCGCTTCGAGAGACCAAAGTCGATGACGTTGACCTCGCCGGCGTGCTTGCCGAGCCCCATGAGCAGGTTGTTGGGCTTGACGTCACGATGGATGAGATGCCGCGAGTGGATGTACTCGAACCGGGTGATCAGCTGCTCAGCCAGCATCAGCACCGTTTTGAGCGAGAACTTGCGCCCACACACCTGGTGCTGGTCTTCCAGCGACGGGCCGAGCAGGTCCATCACCAGCACGTTGTAGTCGCCGTCGTGCCCGAACCACCGCACGTGCGGGATCCCGATCCCGCCAGACAGAATCCGATACAGCATCATTTCAGACTGCAGCTGCGGATGCCGCGTCCGCCGCGGCTCCTAAACCCACCCCGGCGCCCAACGACCCAGTCCACATCAGTTATAGCCGCCCACTTCCCCCCCCCCCCAACGCGCCACACCAACCTACCAACTTGATCGCCACCTCCTCACCCGACTTGAGGTCGGTACCAAGGTAAATATCGCCAAAGGAGCCCGAGCCAATCTTGCGAATGGGTACATATGTGTTGCCGAAGCAAATCTTCCGCTGCCGAGTCCGTCCGCGCTTGCGCTCTGAAGAGCTCGACTTCAATGCACGTCTCGACATTCGGGTGCGAGAGAGAAGCAGGTGCCAATACCAGCCGCACCTCGAAACCTTGCCTCACACTCAGCAAAACTCATCTTTGAACCAGCGCGACGCCTCGCAAGGCCGGGCTGGGCCACAGCCGGATACGATCCATGACCATACTTCATTGTGGTGCAGCTCTGCCAGCAGTGGGGATGGCACGAAGTGCGTCTTCGCTGATCCGGGTTAGCTCAGCTTCGGGAGGGATGCAATCGGACTGCTCCCCGACCCACTCGCGCTCGCCGTCGACCATGCGCCACACACCGACAACTTCGGCCGGCTTGGCCTTGCGCTTCTTGCGCGACATCCGCGCGAGCCACTTGCGTCCGCGATCGCGTCGCTCAACCACCACATAGCAGCCATCTGGAGGGAGCTCGTGGGCGTCGACGTACGCCCGCTCGCCGCCGTACGCGATCCGCAGCACTTCGGCGTCCGGAAGCACAACCGCGAGCGCATCGTCGTAGCCGCGGTACGCTAGCACCGCGGCCGTCACCAGCCACCGCTGCCCGTCTTCCATAAGGTATACATGCCGCGTCTCCGCACCGGTAATGGTGAGTCCATCCGGTGGAACAAAGACGCCGGCTGCAAACGCGTGCATCCGCCGCTGGCCAGCGTCCGGGCCAAGCGCTCCCTTCAGCGCCACGTACGCCGCCGCACTCCGCGCCACAACCTCAAGCGCATCCACACGCGTCCGCACCAGCAGCCGCGCAGCCTGCCTCGCGTCGTCAAACTCGATTCGTGCCACGTCTTCGCGAAGGACGGACCAGACCAGCTTGACCTTGCGCGGCTTGGCCGGGTTCGCGTTGACTACGCACACCAGCCGGAGCACCGAGAGAATAACCATCGCCCGCTCAGCACACGGAATGTGCGCCACCAGCGGCTCGGCTGCCCACGGCTGCTTGCGTGACGCCAGAAAGTGCCGCAACACATGCTGTGCGTGCGCGCTCTCCTCGTCGTACGGCGCCACGGTCGCCCCGCCCGGCACATGCCGCTCCAGCCGCGCAGCCTTCGGCTTCTTGTCAAACACCGTTGTCGTGTTCTTCAGCCCCTCGACCGTCGTTGCCGCAAGCTCCAGCGCTCCGCCAGCCGGCTTGAAGATCACTCCGGAGAGGCCCTTGCCCACTCCTTTGAAAAAGCCCTTGGCCGCGCCCTTGGCTCCGCCCGACGCCTTGCCCTTCTTCGTCTCCTTGTACGGCGAGGTGACGAGCCCAGTCACTCCGCCGATCACTCCCGTCGCGAACCGTTTGAGCCCGAGCCCCAGCCCCGACACCACATGCTTCGGCACGTTGAGCTGCTGCTCCGCCCGCCGCTTCCGCATGTACTCCGAGTCCATCGAGAGAGCGCCCACCCCGCGTGCTGCAGTCCGGATTAGCTTGGACGAAGTGTTGAACACTCCGTGGAGCGTGTGCTTGACCAACGAGCCGCCACCGCGGACCAAGCCCGAGGCAAATGCCTCGGGCCCGCGCCGCATCCCGATGGCCGGCTCGTAGAACGCATCCTTGACCCCGGTCTTGAGGTCTGCTACAAGGCCCACAGGATTACCCAGCGCCTCGGCAGAGCCGAGGAGTTTGTACACTTGCGTCATGCCCTCGTGCCGGTAGTGCGCCGCGATGAGCTGCCAAAGGAGCTCCTGGGAGACCACCCGCCGCTCGAGGACTAGCGCAGAGAGCCGCAGCGGAGCATGGTCAATCGACGAGAACATCTCTCCCAGTGCAAACAGCATCCGCGACTTGCGCGACGAGCCGCCGCGCGGCGTCGACGACCCACTCTGTCCGGAGCTCCGTGCCACAGCGTCCGTCTCGGCAAACGTCACCGTCACACTCACGGCAATGGCAGGCAGGGAGACAAACGAAAAGTAGACTGGGCGCGCATCAACAGGCCCCGCTTCGTCGATGACCTCGTCACCGACTGCGCCGTCGCCACTCCCACTCCCATCACCGCTCCCGCCTCCACGCCCGAGTGTAGCCCCGAGCGCTGTCAGCGTCTGCACATCCTCCACCGTCGCCTGTACCGAGAGCGGCGCTGCGTCGACAACCACATACTCGACATAGTACACCGACGGGTGGTCCGAAATCCATGCACCTGACAGAGTGAGCGCCGGCTCGTACTTGCGCTCCTTGCCGCCGCGGCTGCGTCGGTCCCGCATCTTGCGCGGCCGGCAGTGTAGGAGGACAGGAAACTCGGTTCCAAAGTGCGTCCGGTCGACCTGGATGCTCTCCACAGTCACTTCGCCGCTTGCTCGCGAGCCGTTGACGGTAAACCGGCCATTGAGCTCGGAAAGCCGCCCGTACGCCACCTCGGTCCGCACTCCGCCCGCCACCGCATCTATGCCCAGCAACGAGAGGCCAATACCAGCCACAGAGCATTGGATCGCGTACGTCCGCAGTGCCGCAGCCTCCCGCTCTCCGCGTGCTATCGCCATCCGCTCCGCGGCTTCTGCAAGCGACACCGCCTCCAGCACCAGGACAGCGCACGGGCCGTCATCCATAAACTTGCCGCAAACAGCCTTGTCTACCGCTCGCTCGTCCTCGCTCCACAGCCGCACCATGTGCGGCTCTGCCGCCACAAACGAGTCTCGCCCATACTCGACCGACCCGATGACCTCGCCGTCGCGCCCGTCGAGCGCCAGCGTGAGCGTCAGGTTAAAGTGGCCCTCGTCGTCGCGAAGCCGCGGTACGAGCCCTAGCTGGCTCTCGGGCTCCGCGTGCAGAATCCAAGGCGAGTCGGCCTCTTGCACCGTCACGTCAAACGGCGTCGCGTTGACCACCCGGTACGGAGTCAGTCCGGCGGTGCCATCGAGGTAGACCCTCACCGCACCGCTCGCACGCTTCATCCGCACCCGCATCAGCTCTTCAGCACAGCTCACGCTGTTGTGAATCTTGAGCGGAAAGTCGGCCAGCGCAGAGAGCGGAAATGGCGCAGACCACTCCCACCCGCTTGCCTCGGGATCCTCGTACTTGATGGCCACCATGTCAGCCGCCTCGCCGTTTGCCCACACCCACGGCGCACACTCGCCTGGTGGCAGTACCAGCGGGACTGCGGCCTGTGCCTCGGCTGAAGACGACTCGTCACGATCAGGCCCCTTGCCCTTGCCCTTGCCCTTGCCCTTGCCCTTGCCCTTGCCCTTGCGCGCATGCGATGTCACCTGCCGCACCGCCAGCGTCCGCTCGCTCGAGTTGACCAGCACATACGCCGGCGCAAACCGGATCGCCCGCGTCCGCCGCGACGCCGTCTCGCTCGCCGACACCACCACATCGACTGCAGTTCCCGACGCTGCAACTAGCCGAACCTTGCGGACGCCCGATCGCAGCTTGGCTGCGTCGACATTGACCGACGACGCCAACCACTGGCCGGTTGGAAGAGCCGCGTTGACGTTGTCGGTCTCGCCTAGGAGAAGGATCCGGCTCGAGTTGGGCGCTGCCACGGTGGCTGGCAGCTCCTTTGTCCCGATCACCTTGACACCGCCGCGCCCAAAAACGAGGCTCCATGGTGTAGCATCCACAAGCCAGTACCGCGAAAACAGGTACAGGTGCAAGCCGCCAAACACATCGGTCTCAGTCTCGAAAAACAGCCGCAGCCGGTACGGCCCCTGGCTTGCCAGTCGTACCATCTGGCCCGATCGCCTCGCACGCTTGTGCTTCTTCTTCCAAGGAAGGAACGCAGATCGCGACGGTGCGAGCGGTACAACTCCGGGCGCAGACCATGCGTAGTCGGCGACTTGAAGCCAGAGCACAACGCCAGCAAGCTGCGACGGGTTAAAGTGGTGAACATTGACCACGCCGCCAGCCTCCACCTCAGCCTCTACCTCGGGCACGCTGGCCCCGGCCTCGGACGTCGCCAGTTTCATCCGCACAGGCAGTGGCAGCGTGTTTGTCACCCGGTACGCCGGGGAAATGACCATCCGGTGGCAAGGATACGTCCGGCATGCCGCAAACGTCTCGAGCTCGGCCACAACCGGAAGGCAGCCGACGCCAAACCACAGAAATGCGTCTTCGATGACGGTTCCCGGCCGCCGGACCCCAACAAAGGCGAGCGCGTGGTGCCGCTCCGGCACATTATCCCGTCCCTCGGTACTGCGTCCGTCAGTCGAGCCACGGACCGACGACGTGCCAAGCATCGACGTCGACGCTGCCGACGTCGACGACCCATCGCCGGTCCACACCTCGACGCCCGGTCCACCGCCCTCGGACACCTCGCCCTGTAAGAGCGGGAGTTCGCGCCACTTGAGCGGCTCCGAGAATGCATCGCCACCCCCACCGTTGCCATTGCCATCGTCGTCGCCATCATACGAACCATCGTCGTCCGACTCGGGTCCACCCTCGCCAAAATGCGGTTGAAAGTAGACCGCCGCATTCTGCACGAGATGGACAGGGAGGCCAACCGTAGCACCTACAGGCACGTGGACGAGATGATCGAACGACGCCGTGGACGACATCTGGTCTGCAATTGCCACGTCCATCGCCACGTCGCAAGTGTTGGTCACTGCGAGGCCTGACCACAAACGTGTCTCAAACGAGCCATCGCTGTTGAGCGAGACCGCTGCAAACACGTAGTGCGTCTTGACGGGGAACACATACGAGCCCACAAGATCGAGCGGGACAGGACCGACCGGCTCGCCAAGCACCTCGATCGATGCAGACATCGAGCCGACGTCCAGCACACGGTGTCGGACTCGCGCAAACGAGCCGGTTGCCAGTGACGCGCGGCTTCCGGCCGCCACCACAGTGACCGAGCCAGACCCGTCAAGCATCGCCACCTTGACGTCAAGTCCGGTCATGTTGGTGAGTGCAAAGGCATCCGCACGCACTCCGGCAGCGCCCTCGGCCAGCGGAGCCGCTCGCTGGTCGTACTCGACCGAGAGCGCGTCGGCGCACTGGCCGAGACTCTCAATCATCGGCGCAGATGCGGTCACCTCCAGTGGTGAGTTGACCGCGATCCCAAACGTTGACCGCCAGCCCTCGTAACTCAAGGTGACTTGCGTTGGCTCGAGAACACTTTCCCACCCCGAGAGCACGTGGTTAAAGTACTCCAGCCCAATCGCAACCTCCGCTGCCAGCGTCATGGCATCGGGCCGAGACCACGCCTCGATCGTGCCCTCGACTGCAAGGCTAGTTCGGAGCACAGGCACGTTCTGTCCGGTCACGTCGTTAACAAGCGTCGCCTCGAGGGGCCTGGCTGAGAAGAACAGGCGCTCGTCGCGCGATGCGGGGCTGGTCACAGCGGTGCTGCCGCTCGTGGCGGCCACGGGTGTGGCGTCGCCCAGAGGCCGTGAGCCCGACGGCAGCCACAGGTTGCGCCAGACCCAAAGACCGAGCTTAAAGTCGGTGTACGAGACAAAGGCTTCGCCAAAGGCCACATCGACAACAGCAGTCAGCTCGGCGCCGCTGCGGTCAGTCCAATCGATCGAGACTTTGCTCGCCTCGACAATCGTCACGGCGCTCTCGGTTACGTTGTTGAGGAGAACCGAGACCAGTTCTGTGCCGGAGCTCAACGCCACTACCTTGTACTCGCTCGGACCGGCTAGGGTCGACAAAACAACGTCGGTCTGGACACAAGCGCCGGTGAGGCGCCGTCGGTGTACGACGATGCCAGCAGCGCCTCGAGCCCAGTGCCTTCGACCCGCATCAAGTGCTCTGCGGCGGCTGTCTCTGGCGGCGGCTGAGTCGCCTGCGCGCCAAGCACCTTACCAACCCGTCCCAGCACGTCAGTGACACAAGTTACTCTCGTGTGTGCCAGCCGAAGCTCAAGCGACGAGCCGCCGGGACCATGCGCCTCGGAAAACGGCAGCGTCATGAGCGCAAGTTGGAGGCGCGGCCGGTCGCTGACGCCACGTGGTGCTAGCAGCGCCCGAAGCTCAGACGGCGTCGCCGCATCGCTGCGGCTGTCGAGCACTGTTACTCCCGCTGCCGAGACCCAAGTCCATGCATCCCACGAGTAGAACGAGGTGTACGCCACAGCAAGATCCGAAAACGTGAGCTGCGCAAGCGGAACTGGACCGTCAAGAGACTCATCAAGCAGCTGCAGGCACAGTGACTCGAGCTGGAGCGTCAACTGGAGCGCAGCACCGGGTGTAGAATCAAGCTGCGCGTTCGGCACGGTGGCAAACGGCGTCAGTGCCCGGACGGCAAGCCGTGAGGACGAGACCGCCTGTTTCGGGCCCGACGGCAGCCAGAGGACTTCGGCCATGTTCTCCCATGTAAACTGCTGCAGTAGCAGGTACTCGGCACCGGTGAGCTCGAGCTCGAGCGCGGATCGCTCGAGCGTGAGCGTCTCAGCCCAGGGCGATGGCGACGCTACGTATTCAGCTGCAGACTGGATGTCGTACGAAACAGCCCAGGTGAGTGCGGTCGGCTGGATGATGGTCCCGTCCGGCCGGTGCGTCGACGACAGCCGCGCGTGAGCTAGCCGCCACTCGGTCGTGATTCGACCATCGTGGAACGAGTTACTCAGGCTCAGCCTCGATGCTTCGAGCAGGAGCGCATCGGCAGACTTGCAGTTGCGCGGGAGTACAAAGGCTGGCTGAGCGAGCACCACGTGCACGCCAAGGAGGAACGCGGGCTGAGGCTCACCATGTGAGAACTGAGCGGCAGATGCGCCTTCTGGTGCCACGACTGCCGACGTTGCATCGTAGGCAAACGCTAGCATTTGCATGACAAATCGGTACAGGATGGTGGCGCGCGCAGAAGCCATAGACACAGAAAGCAGCGCGTCAGGCGGCGTTGCGCCGTCCTCGACTGCGTAGCCGCAAGCAAGTGCCTCGTCCGACGCTTCCGCCACATACGCTGCGTACGCCGTAGCGACGGTAAAGTCGAGCGCCTCACCTGCGGGCAGACTGAGAACGTCGACGTGCAGGCCAGAGTGGCGCGAGACGTCGGCAATGGCGAGTGCATGCAGGTGTCCGCTCAGTACTCCGCCGCACCGCGACGCATACTCGAGCTCCGAGTGCGCGAGTGAGAGTTTGGCAAACGGTGCCGAGTCGGCAAGCTCAACCTCGAGCGAAGCGAACGAGGCCGAGGCCTCAATGCCGCGACCAGGAGCGGCCTCGGTGGCCGCTGGAGCGCTGACATCTTGAACACCATGCTGAAGCGCGCTCAACAGGCGAGTGAGTGTGCGCGAGACAGAAGCAAGTACAGCCGGTGACGCCGATATCGTCGAGTCGCCGAGCGAGATCTTGAGCCGCGCCGGTGCTGCCGGCGAGCTCGGCACGGTTGTGACCAGCTCGGCAGTGGCTGAGGAGAGAAGCGGCGGCGCGTTGCCGCAGGCCGCAAAGACCAGTTGGGAAAATGCGCCGCCCGATACCGAGACAGGGCCAGGGCCATTCGACGGCAGCTGCCATGCCGCGCCGTACCTAACGCCTGTGAGCGAGAGCGAGACCGCGTCGCGAATCGAGACATTGACCTGACCAATGTCGAGCGTGACAACCCAAGCAGACGAGTCGGGACTTGGCGAAGCGTCTGGTCCGGAAGCAAGATCGAGTGCCGGTGGAGCCGTCAGGGACGAGCTTGGTGTGCTAGCAGAGAGAAGGCCGAGTACAGTGACAAGGTCATCGAGCGAAGAGTCGAGAACAACGTCGGTAGTGGTGGCGATGGTGACCACGGTCCGGATATGCGGGACAGAGTAGCCGGCGATCTCGAGTGGCTCGGGCTGGATCGGCGAGGTGTTGACAACAAGAGCTACGTCAAAGGGGCCGAGCAAACAGGTGTCGGTTTCGGACGTGGTGGAGCAAAGTGTCGCGTTGAGTCGCTTGACGTCGACATGGTAGACCGAGCCGACGTTGGTGACATGGGTGACGCCGAGGTCAAAGACGAGCCTTGGTCCCCCGACTCGTCGCCCAGCAGGAGCACCGGATCTTGGACGGTCAGGTCGACAGTGAGCAAGGGTGGCGCATCGTCTACATCACCGCTCTCACCTGGTACGGTCGACTCGAGCGCAAGGTTGGCCGACGATGAGAGGAAGGTACGGAGGGCCGTAAAAGTCGCCAAGTAGTCTGAGGCGGCGGCAATGAAGAGGCCGTCGTAGGACAGCACGATCTGGCCGAGGACCGCAGCCAGAGTGTAGTGCTCTGGTGCGACGGCGTCGACGTTCGATACTGTGTACCGCATGACATATTCGGTCGGAGTGGCGAGCACCTGTCGTGGACTCCCGGCAGCCGTCATGCTCTCCGTCAGCTCGAGGTCGGCGAGGGTGAGCTCGAGATGGTAGCGCTTGGGTGCCGGGCGGGCGACGGTGAGCTCAAAGGCGGCAAGGTCTAGAGTCGCGAGCTGCGCCTCGTCATCCGGAAGGTAGAACACAACTTTGAGCTGGTCGACCGTAAACACAAAGTGGTGCTGACTGCTTCCAGCGCAGCTGCAGTCTCGGTCGGTACTGGCAGGTCTGTCGCATGTGCAGCGCCGCCAAGGTCGGGCACAAGCGCCGCGGCGTCGAGCCAGGCGTTGACAACGCTAGGGCGGATCCGGACGTGGAGGGTGTGGAACGAGGCGGTAGCGGTGTAGCGCTTGGACGCGAGGCAGGTGTCAAGCGAGACTAACGGCTCGGCCGAGTCGAGGACGACGCCAAAGTCATCAGCCGCAGTCGGCCTGCCCGACGAGAGGTACGTCTCCAGATCTGAGCACAGCGCGAGCCGCGGGAGGCCATCAAGCGCGAGATGGTCAAACAGCCGCAGTGAACCGAGCGCAAAATGGGCGCGCTGCTCGAGCCGTGGCTTGGTCTGCAGCGAGTGCGAGATGTCAACGCTGCCGAGCCGGAGGGTGGCCAGCCGAGCTCGGGCCTCACTGTACACGGCGATCGTAGTCTCCGCCACTCGAAGACGGAGGCGCGAGCGGACAATGGCAATGGGCTCTGGGGCAGAGGCGGGCGCGCCGCGGTGCGGCACAGCCCGGGCGAGAGAGGCTGAGACCTGGGCATCCCAAAACTCGTCGTCGGATGACGAGTCATGCAGCGAAGCGAGCGAGTCGGTGTCCGAGTCGGGAGGTGTGAGGAGAAGGGCGTCGGGAGCGTCGAGGTAGATCGAGTCGAGAAGTAGCAGCGACGCATCGGGTGCAACATTGTCTTCGATGGCTGGATGCGGGGTCGCGGAGGTCTGCGACGCAGGCAAGGCGGCAGCAAACGTTTTCAGCGTTGCGGCCACGCCGGCGACGACAGGCAGAGCGGCGTCGATGGAGAGGACGTCGACCGTGGCGGTAGTGTCAAGGTACGACGACCGCGACGAGGCTGACGACATAGCAAGGTCCTCCATCTGCTGCATCGAGCACGAGATGAGGGTGTTGGCGACGACAGGCTCGCCGGCGTAGTCGACCGCCATGTCGGAGATGAGGAGCGCGTAGACGTTGAGCGCGTCGGGCGCGGCGTCGGCCGACGGCGTCGAGACCACCCACTCGCCGGTCCGCCACAACAGCGCCGGTGCGTCCCTAACGGTTGGATGTGCGATGAGGGCAAGGCTCGACGGTGCCGCCGAGAGTGCGAGTGTGACCGAGCGAGCCGACGAGGTGAGCGCAGCGAGTGCCTCTTGCGAGAGCTCGTCGACACGGTGGCGGTAGGCGGCGCGGAGAGCGACGACGGTAGGAGACGGCGGCAGATGTGCAAACGAGGCCAGGCCTCCGAGAAACGGCGCAGAAATGGAGATGTCGAGCGACTGCAGCGACGCGTCCACATTGAGTGCGTGCGGCGAGGCCTCCAGGTCGAGCTCAAAGGTAAGCGCCAGCAGCGGCGTTCCGTGAGCCGGCTTGGCGGCCTGAGCCACCACCGGATAGTAGTTGGTGGCGAGCGCCGAGCCCGCAGCGGTGGCAGTATCCGAGACGACGAGGCCGCCGAGTTGAAACTGGCCAGCGGCCAAGCTTGGGTTAGCCATGTACTTGATGGCGACCTGCGAGAGTACGCCCTTGACCAGCGGCGGTCTCTCGGGTACTGCACTCGCGAGGCTCCAGGTCAGTGATGGTAGAGTGAGTGAGGCCGAGACGTACTGGGCAAAGTTGGTGAGTGCTTGGTTGGCCCGAGTATCGGCCTCGTCAAAGTCGATGATGGCAAAGAGCTCATCGCGGGTCTCTAGCTCGGGCTCCGCAGAAGACTCTGGTGTCGGCTTGCTGCCGTCGGCAGCTGCTGACGCAGGCTCGGCAACATCCGCAGCCGCTCCCGAAGACCACCCGAGCCATGACAGCCAGCCGTCGGACTCGGCTCCAGCCGCGACAGCAGTCGTCGGTTGGCCTGACGACGCAGAAGCCGCAGAAGCCGCAGCGGCGGCCGAAAGCTCATCCCAGTGAGCGCGACGACGAATGCGGCGAAGGGTGGCAAGTGATAGGGTGCCTTCGAGGTGGTCGAGGGCGGCGAGATCGTCGGCGCCTAGGGCGCCGCGGTCGGGAACGAGTCCGCACCGCCGAATCAGCTCGTTGTAGGCGTCAGCGTCGGCGTCGGCAGTGGAGCTGGCCTCGACAGTAGACGCTCCGGCGGCCAGATCTTGGGCACGCAGCATGAGCTCGAGCTGGGTGTGGGCGTGAAAGAGTGAAAGGGCGTCGACGGCGGAGCGAAACTGAGCCGGGGAGAGCGAGAGCGCGATGTTTGAGACGAGGGCGACGGATAAGTGGAGCCAGTCGGGGGTGGCGTCGTCAAACGGCGGCTGCGGCACAAAGTCTGCAAGCCGGATGAGGGTCTCGACGTCTGTGGGGTGAAGGATAAAGGCGCTCGGGGCGGCAGCAGCCGTGAGGCCGAGAGCGTCAAAGCCTGCGATGAGGGCGGCCGCCGACGCAGCGCGGGGCGTCGTGCCCGAGTCGAGGCCTCTGGAGAGAAGAGTGTGATGCAGTGTGCCGTGAACGGTCCAGTACGCGGTGACGGCTGACAGAGCAAGGCGCTTGTGGACGTAGGTCTCGCCGTCTTGTGGCGGAGTGCGCGCGTCTTCTGCGAGGCGCAAGATATCTGCGGGCGAGGCGTCTGCAAGGACAAGCGAGGCAAAGGTGAGGCCAAAGGCAAACGATGGGCCAACAGTGGGGCGGGCGTCCTCGTAGCGGACGTGAATGTTTGTAAAGGTGAAGAGGGCCGACGACGTCAGCTTTGTGACGAGGCGGTAGAAGAAGCCGCCCTCTGCAGCAACAGCAGCAGCATCGGCGCTCGTTGAGTCCTTGACATCGGACGCGCTGTCGGCCTCTGCAGCGAGAGCAGCCTTCATCCGATCTGCATCCCGTGCATCCCACTCTGCCAGGCGAGAGCGGCGAGAAGCCAGAGCGCGGGCGCGGGCAGCAGCAGCCTGATCGTCACCGTCCCCATTGTCCGGGCGCAGGAGAAGATGAACGCCATCGACGACGACCTGCATGGGCGAGCCCCATACATTCCAGGGAATGGTGACTTTGATAGAAGAGATGGCCCCTGCTTCGACCGCCACCGATGGTATCATGCCCGCAAAGGCATCCGGTTCCAGCTCCACTGCCTCCAGAGTGACGGTGCCTGAGAGGAGAGCCACATTGAGGGCCGATGGCGTGAGGTTGCGGCAGTAGGTACCCAGGTATGTGGAGAGGTAGGAGGAGAGCACCCCTTCGAGCATGGAGGTCTAGTGTGTAGGTGGTGTTGGAGAGAGGTGGTGATGCCACCTGCCCGTGCCCTCTGCCCTCCCTGCCCGTGCCTTGATCACATGCGGTTGGTGACACTTGGCGGTGACACGGACGGTTCGAAGTTGGTTGCTGGTTGGCAGCCCGCCCCCTCCTCCCTCCCTCCCCGACGAGGGCGACAGGCAACCGACGACCGACGACCGACGACCACCTCACCCACACCCACCACACACCTCACCCACAACCACACCCACAACTGCTGGTGCTCACGCGTGACGTATTCCAAGGCGGTGCAAGAGCATGTCTGACGAGTACTCCGAGTACTACGAGTCGGACGACGGGGCCGGGGAGCCGGGCCATCGGGAACGGGCGGCGGCGGGGCGGGCGAGGAGATGGGGACGACGCGACTGGGTCAGTTGGTGGACTCGCTGCCAGAGCGACTGCTTCATCGGATCTTCCGTTATCTGAGTGTGACGGAACTGGCGACTGCAGCGGCCGTGTGTCGCAAGTGGAATGTCTCCATCGACAACGATACCCGATGGTCGTCGCTCTGTCAGGAGATGGGCATCTACAAGCGCCCGTTCAAGGATCTGCCGTGGCGACGAGTGTACATCCGGGCGCTAGCGACAGCCAAGAACTTCAACTCGCGGACGTCTTCGTACACCTCGTGTCTCCTCCGCAAGGGCCACAAGGACGCGGTGTGGGCCCTGGCGCTGGGCAAGACCAAGGTCTACTCGGGCGGCTCAGACAGAGTGGCAAAGATGTGGGATGTCAACGCGCTCAACTGCCGCGAGACTCTGAAGAGCTTTGAGGGCGGCGTGTGGGCGCTGGACTACGATCCGGTGAGCGGGCTGGTGGCTGCCGGCGACACTGAGGGCTTTGTGCACGTCTTTGACGGCGAGACCGGCGAGACCAAGAGCTCGTTCCAGGCCCACACCACAACGGTCTCTGCGCTGCAGCTCGACGGCGGCTCGCTCATCACGGGCTCGTTTGACAACTCTGTGGTGGTCCATGACCTCGAGACCCAAGTCCAGACACACGTGCTGCAGGGCGCACGCGCCGGCGGGCACAAGTTTCACGTCTGGTGCCTGCAGGCTGCGCACGGGCGGGTGGTCTCGGGCGGGTGGGACTGCAAGCTAAAGGTGTGGGACCTCAAGTCGGCAACGTGCACTGCCAACTTGGTTGGCCACTCGGGCCCTGTTCGTGCTGTGGCGTTTGATGGGGCGCGCGTGGTGTCTGGCTCGTGGGACAAGAGCCTCAAGATGTGGGATCTGGCGTATCCCGCATCCCCACTCCACACGCTCACCGGCCACAGCGGGCCGGTCTCGTCGCTTGCCGTCGACGAGTCCAAGATTGTCTCGGGCTCGTACGACGGTACCGTTCGCATCTGGGCCCTGGCCGGGGCGCCGCCGCCGTGCATCCGCACGCTCAAGGCCAACACTGGCGGCGTCCTCGCTGTCGCCCTCGACTGGAGGAGAGTCTATGCCGCTGGCAAAGACAAGAAAATCCGGGTCTTCGACTTTGCTGCCGAATGAGCAGCGTACGCGCCGCCGCCCTCAAGCCTGCGCATACGCCTCGGCCATGAGAGCACGGAGTGGGCCGAGGTCGACGGCAGTCACTGCCGTGTGCAGCAGGCCGACACATGAGATGTTTCCCGTCTTGCCGAGCGCCCGCGAGAGCTCGTCGCGCGTGAGCGCAAAGACAACCAGCGTGCCCGACTCGGCGCATGCTTCGGTAATCGAGCCGATGAGCTTGCCAAGCTTGTCGCGGACTGCGCCCTCGATGTCGGCCGCAAAGAGGACGACGGCGACCGCCGACCGCTGCGACTGCTTGAGCACCTCGCGGAGCCCGATGGCCGCGCGCTTGGGCCCGTTGCGGGCAGCCTTGCCACCCGACTTGCTCGACTTGGGCGAGGTGAGCATAAACTCCTCGAGGAGCGCAAGGACCACGTCGTTAATACAAGCAAAGCGGGCGTGCTTGCAGTACGCGCCCACAATGGCATTTGGGCTCTTCACAAGCGTGCGGTCGGTCGAGACCGCCTTCGCCGAGCGCGACGCCGCCGGAGGTGCCGCCCGCCCCGCAGATCCGGTGCCCGCCGGCGATACAGGCGATGCAGGCGACCGCGGCGACCGCGGCGACCGTGGTGACCGCGGCGAACGGGAAATCTTCAGCCCGCGCGTCGCCTTGGACAGACTCTGGCGCCGGTCCGGGACCCGCGGCGAGCCGGTGCTCCGTGGCGACCGCGGCGAAACCGACCGCGGCGACGAGACCCGGGCTGAGACCGGAATGGGGATGGCGGCGAGGCCCGCTGGATGGTTGGTCAGCGACGGGACGATGAGCGGCGAGTCGCGGGCCGACGTTGACGTAGAGCTCGCGCCGCTGTGGCTCGCCCCATGGCCGCTACCATGCAGCGACGGTGACCGCGGCGAGACCTCGCACGACGACGAGGTCGGCGACGAGTTGGAAAACGCGGAAAACAACTCACGCATCCGTGCGTCCTCGGGCGACGATGCAGACGCAGACGTCGGCGTCAGAGACGGCAGCGACTCGAAAATCGGCGACGAGACCGGCGAGAACGACTGATACGGCAGGGTGAGGCCCTCGGCAGCCAGCTCGTCGAGCAAGACGTTGGCGTCGTGGTCCATCATGTCCGGCGTGAGCGGCGGGACCAGAGTGCCGAGCGAGGAGCAGTGGCTCAGGCACATGTCGACGACCGCGTCCGGCAGAGACATCGGCTCGAGGCCGGCCACGTCCGAGAGCCACGCCGAAATGGCCTGCGCCTCACCCTGGCTCAAGCCGTACACGTACTGGTTGGTGTTGGCAATGGCCACCGCCGCGCTCTCAGGCACATACACCCCGGCTTGGATGACCGACACCAGCCGCGGGAACGACCTCAGCATGTGGTAGAAGAGCACCTGCGCCTCACGCGAGTAGCTCCACACCAGCGAGTTCGACGCTGTAGACACCGGCATCATCACCGCCTGATGCGCCGCGTTCGACTTGGCCTGGACCGAGATGGAGATGCCCCACGGCATGGCGTACGCCTCGCCCGCAAGCACCGCAACCACGTTTCGATGCGGAAACGGGACCGGCGCCACCTTGAGCGTGGCGCACAGCTCCACCCCAGTCCTCCAAGAAGGCGACTCCTCCGTGTATGTCCTCGCATTTGGCGCAGTGAGGCCCAGCTGCTTGGGCACATTGATCCGAAGCCCTGAATAGCCTTGCAAGCTTATGCTAACAAGCGGAAGCCAGAGACAGCCGAGCCCAATGTCACCCACTGTGAGTCAATGGCACAAGCTCCGCCGACGTTGTCGTCTTGCCCAGGACACTGTGGCTACCCACCGCAAGCCGAGCCACCTACTCTCCCTCCTCCTCCTCCCTCCTCCCTCTTCTCCTCCTCCCCTGCCTTTTGCTGCGGCTGCGGCGGCCAAGTGGGGAAGAGGGCGGAGGGCAGGTTGGTGGCCACTTTCGGAGGACATTCCAGACGGGGGGGAGAGGGGG